AGTCGCGGCTGGTTTACTCATGATTTGGTTAAATAGTTCTTAATGAATTGATTTGGATAAATAGTCTTTAGCGGATACGTACAACAGCCCTGCATTTGCTACGATCAGTGCCCACATGTTTTGACTAAGCCAAATGGTGGTCTTTGCTAATAAATTCAAGAGCCAGAAAACAATACTCCCTATTATACCAGGAAGTGCAGTGAGCTTTCCCAGTGCTTCTCCTAATACTTTTAAATGCTTTTTTATCCACTCTTTTACACCATTTTTATCACTAGGCGATGTGCCACCTCTTGTACCACCACCACCGGTTAACGCAAGAGTCAAAGTCGATATAATAAATCCCAATGCGCTTAAAATACTGGCAATGGTTATCCCCTGTTCTCTGAGCAATGTTTTAATTTTATCAGCCAGTGTGGTATCATCGTTGAGGACTTGATCGATGTATATTTCTGTTACATGGATCTCTGGAGAACGGCTAAAGAACGTGAAAACTTACAATACCAAGGTATTTGTAATTAGAACGCATTGAGACTGCGTGTGGGTGCTGATAGTGGCGATAATAACGTCGTAGGAGATAAGGCTGTTGCTGATGCATTAGTTAACCGATTCTATATTCCGCTAGACTTTGAATTACTAGATAGTCACATGCCCTTCTATCAAGCATCCCTAGACGATAGGTTAGAATACAAACTCACTTTGAATGACTACAGCAGGGTAATCAAAGCCGCTGAAGATGGTACTAGCTATTCTATTGATAATCACTGGAGTATGATATGATAACAGATCCTGAATTAGCCAGACAAATTCGTAACCAGTATACAGGAAGTTTAGCCATTTTGTACGATCGCATGCTTCAACACCGAAAGATCACCAGGAACAAAAGAGATATGACATGGAATATCAATCTAAACGTCCCAGCGAGATCGTTAAAAGGTATTTAATGTTGTTCGAGGACCCTTCTGAAGCATTTGCAAGAGATACCTAGAAGTTCTACAATCCCAAGATTACAAAAGTAGAATTGACTATCGAGGGTGTGCCTAATCAACTATATAGTCAAGGCATGCGAGCATATCAACAGTGGGATGAGATTAAAAAACTCCCTTCTATAAAACGAAGTTAACGCCGTCGTGAAAGATCTGTCTCTCGGGGATGTATCGATGGCTGAATTCCTTACCACGAAGTATGCGCTATGGCTCGACATGCGAACCACAGATGATGACCAACTACACGGCAGTGGGCGGAGAATAGAAAATGCCAGTGAGGACGATCGTTTACAAGACTGTTTATGAGTATGTCTCGAAAAATACAAAGGAGAATCAACCCTTTTCATAATAGACAACTGCAATGCAAGTAAAGAACTTACCAAAAAGAAAGATATGCTTTCATATTAAGCATTCTCCGGAAGACATACTCAGCAAAGCGTTTGGGTACTTACTCAAAAATACAACTCTGTCCTGAAAGATCTCAGAGAGTAGACCAAATGGGTAGCCCTGTTTCATTGCAAAGACCAAGATTCATTTGAGGAATGTCTACGCGAAAATATATAAGCAACCACTAAAACACCCCAAATGGATTGCCAAACAACTTTTTCCCCTTTTCGGAAACACATTAAATGGCTTGGCCGGGCCCGTGTGCGAAATACGCTGCAGTCGGAAAGCGCACGTAAAATCTCCATTATAAGTAAGTAAGTAACTATCAAACTTTGCAAAAACGTACGTAATAGCTATTGGCGATTTCATCTGGGGATTATATATTATAGCTGTGAATTACATATATTGTTACATGTAAAGATTTTGAGTTTATGAAGAACGATAAACTTTGAACATTCAATTGAAAACTTATTATCGGAAGTAGTAACATGCATAACATTTTTTTTAATAATGACAACATTGGTGTATAATAATAACTTTATTGATAATTTATAACAATAATGGCTAATGCCCAAACTTTCGGGAAGTTGTAATCTATCGGACCGTCATTCAGGCGATGTTTCTGACGGACATAAACATATACGCGGACATAAACGGTAGGTATATAAATCTGGCTCCAGTGGAAGTGAGCCAGAATCACCATTACCTATACTACTCTAGAGCAATCTTAGCTACTTCAGATTTGTCCGGACCAATTGTGAATTGTGATTGTAGCTTACGATGATCATGGCGCCAGAGACGCCTACCGGATTCTGACAAGCACAATTTCAAATGGAGCCTCCCCAGACACACCCTTTTATTGACCCATCCTGGATTCATCTAATGCAGACGATGATCTAGCAAGTGATGCCATAGTTTCCCAGCTCCTCTGGCTCCTTCAGCTTCTGCGATCCTGTCGGCGCCTCCAGTCCCGTTGACATTGCTGGCGCCTGAGATAACGGCTCCTGTGGATCTCGGTGGCGCCTCTATGATCCTCTTCTTGTGGTTCTGCCTCTCCCTGCTCTTCATCATGGCGGAGCAAGTCTTCCTGTACTAGACACGTATCTTAGAGCCCCTCCCAATCAGATGATCAAAAATATGATCACAGCATTAGATGAGGACTTTGCCAAGTTATTACTCACTCCTTCTTTCCAGGCGCCCAAATAGAGGAAAGATGCTTTCCCGTTCCATGCCCTGGATATAACCGACATTGTCATGCCCTCGATGACGATCTTCAATGTATGACAGGGTCTCATCGCTCAACATTCATCCATGTAGCAAACACCAGACTAACCTATATCGAAACAGAGATACGCCTCTGCAAGCCTCTCTCTGACCTCCAGAGCCATTATTCAAGACCTCTCAGAGGATAACCCTCATCATCTGGACCGTCTTGTCACTGTCATTCTTACAGCACCAGATTGACCACATTCTCACTCACATGCATTCTGCTTTGTTGGAACTAACAACTACCTGATGGTTACCTGGCACTTGCTGAGTGGGACTCGGAATTCAAGAGGGATCTCTTGCGACAGCCTTGGACTTCAATCGCCCTCTTCAATGGCCAAGTCTCCACGACCCATCTCGTGTCTCCAAAGCCCTGGCACAAGTTTCACAGCCCACTATCTTTAAGCCATCACAAACTGGTAGTTGTCAGCCCCCAATGTTATTCCCTCAAAGTCACGCGGACAAGACACCTCAGCCTTTCTTGGCAGAAGCCGTGTTAAGGAAAGGTTATCTGGGACCTACCAGCCGCTCTGTGACCGTTCCCACGGTGGGAGCGGAGACTACAAGGGCAAGCTGATGTGATGGATGCCAAAAACTTGCACCTCCTACCCCCAGTCATTCCAGTAGTAGAGACTCCTTTGGTGGGAGAATAGGACTCTACTGGCACAATTGGGACATTTTGGGGTCCCATACAAAGTCAACATCCTGCAACATGGGTATTGGCTCACACTGATAGACGACCTGCCTATCCAGTCATCAGCCATAGCAGACCCTACATAACAGCAGGTCCTCTCAGACATTCACACTCTTCTAGACTAAGAGGCCATAGAGATTGTCCACTCCCCGGCCCAAACACCAGACTTCTATTCACCAATATTCTTTAACCTCAAGAAGAACGATCCATAACCTGGCCTAATTCAACAAATGTTACCTAGTGTGCCTTCCAAATGTCCACACGAAGACAGGTGAGGTTGAAGATTCAGGCCAACGATTCATTGATCAGCCTAGACATCCAGGATGCCTACTTACATGTGCCGATCCATCTAGGGACAGGAAATTCCATTATTAATGGGCATTGCTGCCATTTGGCATTTCTACAGCCCCATGGCTATTTACACGCATGACAAAGCCGATAGCCACCTTCCTCCAGAGGAATTTCCAGTTTGAGGTGTACATGAATGCCAACTGAACCAACAGGACATGGCCACTCTCATCCTCCATAGGGATTTCACACAACGCCTCCTCCACCAGCTGGGTTGATGATCAATGTGTGGAAATCGGAGCTCACATCTTCATTCAATACAACCTCCAATTCATTGGAGGCCTCTTCAAGACTGACTGAGACCTCCTCTCTGTACCCAGGGACAGGTGGCACAGATTTCAACACCATCTTCTCCCAGTGCCTCAGCAACCTCATACCCTTTGCCAGTGGCAGGCACTTCTGGGTCTCCTGACATCAGTGCAGGACTTGACCTCCACTGCGCCCAATACAAATGTTCTTTGCTTCCTACTTCAGGCGCCAGGACCAGTCTTTCTCCATCGTGCACCCGGATCACCTCAAGCCGCATCTCCAGAGGTGAACGGTGGAGCCAAATGTCTTAGACGGCATCTCCTTCACAGAGCACACCTTACCTGTCGCAGAGTTGCCTCCCTACGATATCTTCAGATGCTCTGTTTTCAGCAGTAATGTGCTGAACAGTGACATCTCCCATTCCATGGTCACGTGGGAACTGTGTCACAGGGTTAGCCACTCAACCAGTTGGAACAACTTCTTCAGCAAGACCTCTCACAGCTCTTTCTCTGTCAAGAACAAGCAGTAAATGCATTAAGGAATAATGCAGGATAAGTATACAAGTATAAAAAATATCTTGATTCTACTAGTTTGTTATTGAATTAATATCCAATATTTAGATTTCAAAAAATTCTGTGAACGGTGAGATATTTCATGATGAACCTAATTTTCAGAGGTCAGTTTCTGTAATTTTGCTGTTGAAATGACAGAGGATGACATCACAGAACATTGAATTTCCTGCAAAATTCAAAACTGTGAATTGTATGTGCATGCATGATGTATTTTGAGTTTTATTCATCTTTAAAGTGAGGTTTGAAGAGGAGAGACATGTATGTCCCTGTGGCATTCCAGTTGGTTAGAGATCACCCATTATGATTACTATGCCTCATAAGATTTAATGTGAAGTGATGTATTATGGCTGCATCATGCTCATCTATCAAACAGTAGGAAAATATAAATTAGGTTGAACTACATTAGTTGAATATGATATAATTACTGGTACGTTAGTATTATTACTGGCGCAAAGACAGAAACACTTCATAAATTTCAGTTGTTCAGTTTTTTGTTCTCAGGAAGCTGAGGTCATATCATATGACCCAATCACAACCAAGGTACAGCTACAGTTATCATCAGGTATGTGTTCAGTAAATTACCTCAAAATGCATATTTGTAGACTTCTCTGAAATTGCCTGACATTGTCTTGAACTTCAGCATGTATGTTTCATCTTAAGACAACATCATATTTTGTTCAAATCATTGTGATTTTTAGTGTTAGATGTTGAAGATGAAGATGAGGCTAAGAATTGGTCTTCAGCAACCCATGCTGTAAGAGGCGACCAACAAGATCAGGTGGTCAGGCTCTCTTGACTTGGTTGATGCATGTAATTGTATCCCAATTGTGTAGATCGATGGTCATGATTTCAATCACTGGATTGTCAGGTCCAGACTCGATTATTTACAGACCACTGTTACTTAGCTGGAAAATTTATGAGTATAGCGTTAAACAACAAACAAACAAACAAAAAAAGGTGTTGGTGCTCAGTAATTTTGCAGAAAATATTTATGTTAACAAAAACAGCCATTTGACATTTTAAACTTGACAACATATCTAGGTGAACTAAAGTGCAGCAGCACTATGTTTTTTAGAAAATCAGCACACCTGCATGGGCAAATTTCACACCAACTTGGATGCATCAAAGAGTGAAGAAACTAATGCGGATTGTATAGTAAGTATGGTTGGTAATCTGAAGCAGCCCATTGTGAGTCTTGATGCTTTTAGGTTTTGCCTGAAGTTGATTACTGCCATTCCCCTTTGTTTTTAGAACCACAGCAGTACTTGGACACCTCAAGGATATCATTTCATGTATACCTGGGACACATTCATCAGTTTTGTCAATGTCATCCCCAAGGTCATATGTGGTAAACAAACTATTTTCAACCAAACTCAAGATGGATTAACTGTATGTTTATCAAACTTCGTACTTCTTCCTTAGTGGTCTGCCCAGAGAAAATGTTGGTGGTTCGATTCCTGGCTGCCTCATACCTAAAGATGTTTAAAGATGGTACTAATTGGTAGTCAGTCAGCTGGTATATACTGTGTCACACACACAGATATGTCAAATTCACTGGAATGTCTGTGTTTGTAGTACATGTTTGCAGGAGCTTATTACCATGTTTTCAACTAAAAATAATCAAGTATGTGATTAGCTGAAGTTGAGGTGCATATATTTAACTCTAGCAAGAGGTTGCTTCAGGGGGTTGATACGGACTAGTGGATGCACCCTGATAGCAGCAGAGTTTGGAAGCGTGGTCATGTGCTCGTATCAGGTCACCCGGAGCAGTGTTGTGACTCACTCTATTGGATAAATTGCACAAATTCGAACTTGAAGGGCAGCAAACTCTGATTAGGTGACTTCCTCCTCTTTTTCACTCTGTTAGGGATGTTGAAGATAAGAAAGAAAATATACACATACAGTGTTCTGCCAAGAAACCGAACAAGTGGGGACAGGGACCCCTTCAACAAAAAAACAGGGGCCTCACTCAGAGATTTATAAAAAAAACCTTAAAAAATCTTATATGCAGGTTATTAATGCAGAATCCCCATTCACAGGAGATGCTTGTGATACATAAAACGTTTCCCATGACTTCTTTCTCAGATTTAAGGTTATGTACTGCTGCAACAATGCCTGATGTCATATATGTAGTCTCAATTAACAGCTTGTTTCTGATCATTGTTAGCATGTCTTTTCAAGGTACTCATTCCAAAATAATAATTTAGCTTTAACATTGAATTTGACTTCACATAATTTATGCAAAGCTGACATGTCATAGTATTTCTTTCTGAGTTATGCTGTAACCATGTGCAGGTCTGAAGCCAGGTTCATTGAACTAACATCGCTAACTTAACCTGTGGTTTGCGATTCAGCGATCATTCAAAGGAGAAACATCTTTGTCATTATCAGAAGACGGTTTAAGCTGTGTTGACGACAAAAAAATATTTAAGATTGACCTATCCATGAAAAACTGTCTGCTCTTGGATTTTGCTGTTCGTTCAGGGTTTATTAGTTATGGCAAAGAACCATTGAAAATGTTCCATATGACAGCTATGTTTGCACCAATGTGTAACCTTGATTCTGATTGGACCTTTTGCAACTTTCAGCCAATGATAGGTGTAGACCACAAAATGAGACACGAAAAAGAGGAAGTTTACATTCAATAATAGAAACAGCTGTGTGAGTGATGGAAAATATTTTTTGAGACAATCAGTGGCCCCCATAATTCATCACTTACTCATCCTATTGGTTTGTCTTAGGTTCCTGTAAAACTGTCAGTGAGTATTCCATATATTATATACTCACATGCAAAAGAAACACAAGTCGAGTATGCTGTATACATATTATTTATTTTCAACAGTAAAGACAAGAAATACTAATAGGGCAAGATTGACAAAAATTTGACTGAAGACAGTTTAATGGATTAAAAGGCAGATGACATAATTGGGTTTTTTCAAATGTTAAGGGCTTACACAGTTTCGGGTCAATACCCAAAATGTCAGTCAATACCTGGTGTGACCACCATTAGCATTGATCACTGCCACACATCTCCTGTACATTGAGTGGATCAGATGATTTGTGAAGGCCCTAGGGATCCTCCTGCAAACATCAAGAGCAGCTGTGCATAGTTCATCGGCAGTTGTAGGGACTGGGCGCACATTGTGCAGACGCCTTTGAACCTCATCCCACAAGTGTTCGATGTTGTTCAGATCAGGGCTGAGGGATGGCCACGGTAGAACACGGATGTTGTGTTGTTGCAGAAAGGCCATGGTAGCTCTGGCAACATGGGGACGAGCGTTGTCCTGCTGGAAAATGTGTTGTTGATGTTGTGCAAAAAGTGGAACAACGTGGGGTCTAATCACTTGGGCGATATACCGCTGAGCAGTGACGTTGTGTCCCCGACCTTGACCAACATTCAGAAAGCACATGGGTCCAAGTCTCACATTAGTCCGATCCCTGCCCATATCATGACGCTAGGTCCACCGTATGGATCTCTTTCCACAACGTTTCTGTCAGCGAAACCATCACCTCGCCGCCGCCAAATTCTGACCCTTCCGTCTGCATGGGAGACACAAAAGCGACTTTCATCAGAGAAGATGACACGCCTCCACTCACGATGATGCCAATTGTGGACCCTGTGCCCACTGAAGTCGTGCTTGTCGATGCCGTGGTTGGAGAACAAGACGACGTGCTGGTCAGTGATATCTGAGGTTGTTGGAACGGAGACGTGGGATCACAGTGTCCCGGCTGTGTGTTCCTATGGTCTGTCGAGCACTTTCACTTGCAGTTAGGAACGGATGTCGCTGGTGTTGACGGGTAATCTGCCGATCTTGTCGAGGTGTGGTGACCCTAGGACGACCGCTCCGAGGAAGGTCATCTGTGGTCTGTGTAGTATTGTATCGATGCAGGAGACGGTAAATTGTGGTTATGTTAACATTGAAATGACGGGCAATATCTTGGACAGACTCTCCAGCTTCCAAACTTCCGAAAGCCTGGTTTCTCTGAATTTGAGTTAGGCGTGGCATTGTTGACCAAGGGGTGGTAGGTCCAAGAATCGGCTACAGTTTTAAAACCCACTACAGTTTCTGACGGTTCGTGCATTTTCGATTTCGCGAAAAATGGGTGCATGATACCCACATATTCATTGAAATGGTGCGTTTTGGCAAATCGTTTTTTATGTTGCGTTTTTATTCGGGGCTTCCAAAATCAACCAAAATTATTGATAACACCACCAGGCTTCACTACATGCTAAAACTCGTATCAATTTATGGTTCCGTGTTTGTTACCTATTTGCTTCAAACCACTTGCATTTCTGTTGCGTGTGAATATATATACTTAGCTTGATAAGTGCAGTGTTCTGCCAATAATTACTACAAAATAGGTAATACTGTTTTCAGCGTATTCTAATTGTATTCAGACACTGTTACTTACATTATGAAACTACTGACATTTAATGGTGCAAGTTTCGTGAAGTGAAAAAAAGAAAGAAGATTGGTACTACCCCAAACTGGAGAATCAGGTTTATACAAAACTAGTTTTTCACATCTTTCATCAATACAGTTTTGACATTAATAATGTACCAGAATCGTGATGTAAAATAACATTCAGTGCTCATCAGTGTCACCTTCCACTTTCTTGCTCTATTCTGTTATGATAGAAAAACTGTCTAATTCAAAATCTCTTCTTTGTTTCAGGTTACTCTGGATTGGGTTTCCCTGGTTGAGCCTAAACTTTTGTGTTGAAAAACTGCCTTTCTACATAGTAGGGTACTGGTGGATTACCAAATCAATTTCTTTGAATTATTACTCAAACTAAAGTAAGCATTGTATGAATAATAAACATGTTAGATTGACAATTGTCTCCGAAGTGTGTATTATTACCAAACTTACTTGTAATAACTATGGGGCAGTGGGTAGCCTAGTGGTTAGACCGTTGCTCGTCAGGCCGAAGACCCTGGTTTGATTCCCAACATGGGTACAATGTGTGGAGTCCATTTCTGGTGTCCAAGCCGTGATATTGCTGATCTATTGCTAAAAGCCGTGTTACACTATACTCACATATCCTAATACATGTGAGTTGTCTTAACTCGCCAGACAACAGCCAAACATTTACACATAAACAACAGAGAAAACTTGCCCGGAAGTGGACACAGACTCTTTATTTTATTTTTGTCACACTCGGCTAGTAATTGCCTCCCAGGAACCCTTTACCTCTTTCTTTGGGGGTGGTGGTGGGGTAGTCTAGTGGTTGAAATGTATTCTCACCCACCAAAGACCTGGGTTTGATTCCCCACATGGGTACAATGTGTGAAGCCCATTTGTGGTGTCCCCCGCCGAGATATTCCTGAAATATTGCTAAAAACGGCGTAAAACTCTACTCACTTTGTCTGGCCTGGCTCCTGTGTAAACAGGCTACCCTGCTGATCTTTCTTCCGAGACCAGTCTTTGGATCTTGGGAACCTTCTGTAACATCTGCACAGACTGTTTGCGATTAGCCCGATGTATTACAATCTGCACAAACTAACTCTAACGAATCCTCCACAACTGTTTCATCAAGCTAAATTTTCAGATTTTCAACAGATTTCCTCTTCACTGTCAACTATACATATTTAGTTCTTCCTGTAATGGCACCAACAGCCAACAGCAATTCCATGCGCGAAGACGGGAAAATCCTCACTACTATCCTGTATGTGATAGTCAACATCTACAATTTTGCTGCTCCCACTCTAGCACTAGCACATTGGTTATGTAGTCACACTAATTCTAACCATTTCAGTTTAAGTATTTTTTTACACTATTTACTACTACAAGAAGATGTTTATTTGGGCTGTTTATTTGGGTTTGTATTACGTGAGTTTAAGTTGGTGTTTGTTGTGAGTCTCTATGGCAGCGTTTCCTCTGTTTATGTGTCAGAATATGGGCTGGTTCATGGTGGTATAATTTCTTCTCTGATCTCATTTCCGGTCTGATATAATGTCACTTTCGATTTTCTGTTAGCAAAGCTTGTGACTTCAGGTTTGATTCAGATATTGCACTTGAACTATCCTACACTCAGTAGCTAAAGATGAGCAGATGGTCTACCTAGCTTCTGAAGCTGCTGGCGTTGGATCCTCACCCCCTACTCCTTTTTTTCATGGAAGGGGTAAACATATATTTTATCTGAGCTTCAAATACCTTGAAGTCTCCCATGGCATTCAATTTTGGCAGTTGCAGAGATTCTGCCAATTGAATTACCTCAAATAAGGGAACGTATGTCAAGAGAATCAATTTCCTAAGCCAAACCAAGGACAGAGTTGGACAGCTGAGCCACCAGGTTGATCATGTTCTGGTCAGAATTGGAATTACAGGATACAGATATCCAGTTTGACAGTCATATGGGTGATCATAACCATAAATTGCTGGCAAGAACGACTCTCAGGAAGCTCACGAGGCTCACGCTGAGGTAAAGGTGAATTACCTTCACTGCATGTCCTGGTAGGGGCAAAGTAACTGGGGTGATTATAATACACTGGAGATGATTGTCCTTGCAGACATTCATGTTACTTTCCCACCGGAGTAACAGCAGGAGGATTTGTCTGCCCTTGAGGCTGCCTATTGGCAAGGTTGTCAATAATTTCTCAGACAATCTTTGTCAGGATTGCTGCTCGTGAACAATCTCTGAAGAAATTGTTAACAGATACTGGCGTTAGGCTCATAATTTTCTGACACTTGTTGAGAACATAACCAGCTGGGCCATTGATATTTAATTTTCCATATTATTAATTTTCCTAACAAAAAAATTAACTTATATAATTCAGTTTGGAATATTTGTGAAATATTATTCAAAATTTATTTTATATTATATTAACAGATCCCATCGCTGCCACCATAAAAATGCAATGGTTCGGGGGTGGGGGCGGAAGGTATTGGGATAAAGCTTTGGGTAGCGAATAGTGGATCACTCCTAATACCACTAACCACACAGTTTTAATTATTTAAATTACCACACACAACACAGAACAGTGCCACGAAGATGTGGGATATCTACCTAAATGCATTGTATATTCTCATAAGGTAGATTTAAGTAATTATGCTACAAAAAGTAGTGAGAGGAACAGACTCACGAATATAGGTGACGTCACACGAACTGTCACGGTGCCGAGTCGAAAGAGGTTATTTGGAATGTATTTACATTTTGTTTTTGCACACTAAACAAACATAGATCAGTGGTGAAATCTGTAAATTTATATAGCAACAACATATACATATGTTGAAGGTTGTATGCTTTACTGCATACATGTACAATATGATGAATCTCACTGACCAAATATACAAAATACAAGTCCTGCCATAGTCTGTCTCCCCGACCCTTGAGAAATAATTCAAAAACTATTGTAAACCAATGTTACATTTCTAACCTCCGCCTATCGGTGTTGGTTTCAAATTAATTTGCAGTCGTTGAATGACAATAACATTCGGTAAAGGTAACAAACGTAACTATTTATCTTCTAATTGTAAACCAATAGTTAGTGTGTTCCGCAATCTGATTGGTCAGCCTACCTCGTTAATTATCATTCGATTCCCAAAAATCCACAGAAGCCTTTTAACTGCGTATGAATAAATATACGGTACTATCTCTCAAGACAAGCCAAAATGTGTGAAGATAATTTTTCCCAGCCACAGTTCAATTTGGGAACCTATGAGGAAGTTTTCGGTTTTGACATGGATGATGCCACACTGCAAGAACTCCTGAATGATGATGGCAAGTATTTCATGAGAAATTGGAGCTCTATCAAGTCTGTTTACATTAAAAAAATATCGCTCAATTCACGAATATCTTGATGATGTAACGGCGTACTGTAAACAAACTGTAAAAGAAATACATCTGAAGATTAAAAAAACACATTATTGCATTTCTAAGATTACA